TCCATCAGAGGCATTTTCCACATCTTGAATATTCTCTTTACACAGAGTTGATTTCCCATGGATATGAAAATCAGGTCATTTGTTCCATACACGCCCCCCCTCTCACCTCTCTCTCCTTTTACATTGGCGTGTATACCTTTCCCCTCTCTTCTCATTCTCCCCCATGGAAGCTTGCGGACCACACAGACACGACATCTGTCATCGGACGGGCGAAGGAAGACAAGGCTGCTACAGCATGTTATTTTTTGGGGGGGTCCCTTGAACTAGACCGAAGCAACAGAGAAGCAGATGTAGTGTTGATTTACCTACATAAACAGATGAGAGTGAAAAAAAGAGACTCATGTGGTGCTGCAGTAGCACCGACGGCGCGGGAAGCCACAGAAAGACGTACATTAGAACGGGGGAGAAGGAGACCTCACTTCGGCTCTGGTAGTCAGTGACAAACAAGCATGGCCTACTGGGGTGGGTGGGGGAATGGATACACCCAGCGAGGTAGAGAGAAAGAGAGAGCGTCTACATACAATCAACACCCCTCCACTCCTGTCTCCAGTTCTTCTTCCATAACGCAGATTGGGGGGGGGGGGGGGGGGGGGGGTGGGGGGGGGGGGGGGGGGGAGGGAGAGAAGAGAGGGGGAGAGGGAGAGAGGAAGCAAAGCCACGCACCCCCCCCCCGCGTGGTTCCGGTTGCGCGTGGGGGGGGGGGGGGGGGGGGGGGGGGGGGGGAGGTACTTTGGGGCTGGAGGGACGGAACGTGGAGAGCAAACGGAAGAGGGGCGGTGACGGCGGAGAGGTAGGAGGACGAGGGGCGGACAGGTTAATTGAGCAGGGGGGCCCCCAGTCCTGCGTTGAAAGATCTTGTAGGGCCAGCCGGGAGGGAAAGTCGATCTCATCTTGGGTGTATCTTGGAACTCTTAATGAGGAGAAAAAAGGGTCTGGGGTTCTCGGGGGCTAGGCCAAGCTAGACCCGAAGGACCTCGTCCCATTTGCAGCACAGCTCATTGGCAACTTGAGAGAAGAGGAAATGACAGTGTGAGAAGAACGGTCTTAGACCTTTTGAGACTGCATCATCTTCTTCTCAGCCGTAAAGATGACTTGGAAACCCCTGCACATCCAATCAGACTGACGTTTGATATTCGTCTTGCTTTGGGGAAGCGAGACTGCTGTTCCTATGTTATCGCCACCATCGCGTAAGGAGAGTTCCCATCCTGGGCCTATTGCTGGGGATCGAGACAACAATTTTAAAGGTGATGGGAGGAGGCAGGTGTCCCAACCCCGTGAGAACACTCAATTCCTCAACGTACCCCCCACGCGCGCAATTTCCATTGCTGAAGAAAACTGCCGAGTTGTCGTATGGTAACCGAGACTTGTATAAACGCTCGGTGCAAGTGCGTCCAACGGAAAAGACAACATGTATTGGACGGATGATCCTCCCACGATGACGAGGTACGTGTATCATGGGAACAACAGCCAGGCTGTTCGTTTCCCCACAACAATCGTTCTGTCTTCCAAAGATTCCAGACTTCACTAGTCGTCAACAGAAACAAGAATGGGATACGGGAAAGGAGGAAGCACAGAAGTAGCATCTGCTTTGGGCAAAAAGGCTTCTGAAATGGGAATGGTATCTTTTCCAAAATGACACCGAAGAAACCGACACGACAAACACTTTTTTTTGGCTCGACCTTTCGTCGGGCAAAACGGCCATCTCGGTCCCACTTGGAGGGTTCAAACCATGGACGCTTGATCGTGTGACCCTACCACGATAACTAATGGATGGAGAAGAGCAGAGCCATCATCAGCGAGAGATTGGGTTGTATCAGGGCAAGTCACACTTTTCCCCCGGTTCATGTACATAAGTGATAGGAAGAGAGCGAGAGACAAAAATGCACAAAGCTGAAGGTTACGTGACGCAAGCCATCGACAGTGAATACGCTTGTGGTGGGTGTCGCTGTCCCCTGTGTCACACTGCGGAAGCGGCCTTTGCTGCAACACACACGCACACACACACACACACAGTTCAGGATGATAGAACCGAGAAAGCCAAATACAGAAAGGACAGAGAACTGGCCGAAGATCTCTCCAGCCAGAAACCAACAGCGACGTCAACCCCCGGCACGAACCATCAAGCAGTACTAGACCTACTGGGCTGCTACCACTTGGCGCCCGGTCAAAGTGTGACACCGCCAACTCGCTGAAGAAGAAGAAGAAAAAATATACAAGTGGAGGGGGCCAAGAAAGACTCAAAGGCCGAACCGAAAGCAAGAAGAAGAGAAAAGAAAAAGCAAGAAAAGCAGGAAAATCAACGGTGTTGCTGCTGCATGCTTCATGCTGCATGGTGCGTGCAGCGGTTTCGTTCGCCAAACATCTCCCTGGCCGGTCGAGATGGAGAATCCTGTAAGAAATGAGCATCTTGGAGAAATGGACTCATGGGGGCCAATGCTGCAAAGCCCGTCATCTGCATACATCATTTACAAGCAACAAACTTGAGCCATGATTTGCCAGCCCGGTACCGGGAGGTTCCGCGAAGAATTTCTATCAGGCAAACCGACAGCTCAGCTGGCGAAGAGATACGGCCGGAGGAGGATTCACAAGAGATGCCCCCTCCAAAATAGCTGGCGGCGGTCACGGTGTTTGCCTTGCTTCCATTGCAAAGTACTCTTACATGGGCAAACGAGATGCATGAATATGGCCGCCAAAGACGGCCGCCCAAGGCTGCCTCGATAGGCCCAGGAGGGGCGAAGGGGGCGCACACCTGGCTCCGAATTGGGATGGGGGAGCTGCCAAACAAGAGCATCTGTTGCTGTTGCGCCGTTGTACGGAGTAGCTCTAGAAATTTCTTGAGCCAGCCTCGGTGTGCAGCAGCAGCAGTCTCCCCTTCCCCAAGCCTCGCACTCTTCCTTGTGGCAGATGAGGTGTCTTCCTGCACGTTTCTCGACCCCTCGCCCTCGCTTGTGCTGCAACCTGATCGTCCGCGACTTGGCGACCGGGATTTGGCTGCCCCCCTCTCGCCCTCTCCCTCCACAACGTTGCAGTTCCGGCCGCGGCCGCGCCTCTGCTTTTGGATAAAGATAGCGGGAAGAGCTTCGATACATGGCACGCGAAGGGGGGGGGGGGGGTTGGAGGAAAACAAGGAAGGGACAGAAATAGCAAACGGGCCGCTGAGGCACAGAGCGATGGTGGGATGTGCGCGTGTATGCGTAGTAATGTGTCGGTGTGTGTGGTTCTCTTTCCCTTCCGCACCTGCTTTGCCGTTGTTGCTTCGCCCGTGGGCGGCCAGCTGGTGATGCATGCCCGTTGACGTGAATCCTGTACGAATAGCTAGGCATGTGTGCCATGCCTTTGCCTTCTCTTGACGTGATGCACTCTCCTCCGCCTGCTTGCCGCGAAAGGCCCCCGCATCGGAGGATGGTCGGTCCCTCACCGTTGACGGTATTGGTGATGAGGGTTTAAGGAAGGAAGAAGGCTGCAATACTACGTCGTCCGATATCCCCGTGCATTTGAATCAGGGGTAGATGTCCAGCTGCAGGAGTTTAAGTAACTAAAACTCGCCCAGCGTGGCGTCGTCGTTCCCAATGGCGCTTTAGCAACTAGGAGAAAAGGATTCTGTCATGGATGCTAAGCCCATGCTTGGAGCCGACGGATCCTATTCTCCATCGTGATCCTAACGTCTGTAATGATGCGTTTCTCAGGGATGATTTTCGATCCGTGTGAGAAGCTTCTTTTTCTTCTCGCCGTTGATTTTTGACATGCTGGTGGGACTGGAATTGTGAAGCACATATTTGTCGCCGCAGCGAAGTCTTGTCCTGCCATCATCTCACGGCGTGCAAGGTCAACGAGGTGCAAAGTCTCAAGATCCAGGCAGTACTTGTGTTTCCGCATGAGCTTATTGCCAGAGAAACCCTCGCAGTATTTGAGACATGTCCTCGCCTCGTCGATGATGGTCTGGAAGCGCGCAGGTCTCTCGAATCACTCTCGTCTTGCTCTCATGGAAAAGCCTACGCCGCAATTCCAAGACAAGAGAAACGAGCTGCCCTCGCTGAAACTCTAGGAGAGCAGTTCGTATCGAGAGTCGACTGAGATGTTGTTGGCAGCGTAGCACAGCGTCAAGACTGATATCATATGCAGCAACAAAAGCCTCGCCCAACAAGGTGAGGCCGTCATGCCGGCGATCAGGCTGTCGTGATGCAGATCCTCTCTTCACCTTTCACCTGTTACCGGGCATTTCTTGTGCGTGCCTGCTTCTGGGACGGGAGGCAGCAAGCAGAACGCACATGGCTCGACGGCTTCGCTGACAACGGAAATTTTTTGCAGCCATCTTCGGGGCGCTGCATCTGTACTTTTGGGGGAGCTGCCAGTCATAGCCAGAACCAGTTTTTCTTTTTCCCTCTCCCATCCATATGCGGGCAGCCGTTTGCAACAGGTACACAGGACGTAAGCGATTGGACCGGCTTCTAGAGACACAATGCCATCTGACAGCCCATACTAGGGGGCCGGCCACGTCCGGAGCAGATTGATTGAGGTCGTCAGCGATGGAGAACAGCCACCAGAGCCAGGGACTGAAGGAGGCGAAGGAGGCGCAGGAGAACGAGAAGAGACGAGCCGAGCCGGGCTGCCTCCACAATTAACACATTGGCGATGGAGAATATCAGATCCGTTGGTTGGGGCCCTTGCGAGTTTCTCCAAGTGCCCTTTCTCGACGTACTGTGCTAACAAAGTTGCCGTTCCGTGGTTTGGCTGCAACGAGATTCTGCATTGGGAAGACAATCGGCCTCCTCCGCCTCAACCTCAGCATCATCGACCGGCCCATTGAGCCCCACGGAATAGCACAACTGACGAGCTTTGATCTTCATGTCTTGCTCGCACTGAAGCAAAGACAGACGCGGTCGCACAGGATTGGGGAGTTGATGCCTAGCGGGCCAGAACGGACAGAAATAACTGCAGCAGCTCTGCAGCGAGACTCGACGTGCTGTCACTCTCGTGATCCTGTGCGACATTAGCAACTGATGATACAGGACGCCTTGAAGGGGGGAACTTGCGAGGCCCTACACCAGGAGACCGCATCTATTAGACGCCGCGATGAGGTTGCAGGCGGCAGCGGCAACGAGAACGAGAACGAAATGCGAACGATAAAGGAAATCGGTCAGGTTCGGAAGCAACTTTACGAATTACCGCGAACTTAAGTTCATCAGCTCTCGTCCCGAAGGCAACCTCGTTCTAGGATTCTAGATGGTCTTCTTCGTAGAGCTGAACTCTGAGGGATGCGAGGATGTGATCGGAGATTGTCCTGACAGGTCGAAGACGTTGTCGCACAATGCCGACCTCGCACGAGGCGGCTGCGGACTTCATTTGAGATGGCGGTCCATGGCCCATGGTGCGTCTCTCAATGCCGCTCCGTTGCAGCTTCTCCCATAGCACAGGAACCACCTTGAAGATATGACAACTGACAGATGACAGCTTCACCAAACGCAGCAGGCTGATGCAAGCTCCCCTCGGCAACACCAAGGATGTGTGTCGGTCCCCACTTCCGCGGTGCTTCCGGCCGCTTACTTACATGGCCCCTTGCGAGTGTGGAAAAGGAACAGGGCTCGATAGCCATGTTTGCAACGGCGAGAAACGATGAGACCAATCCTACTTGGGGCAAGCCGTTCGCCATGTGCGACATCAAGTTGTAAAGTCAAACCCCACGGCCTTTGCTAGGGCAATCTCTCTCCCTTCCCTCGTTCCCCACATCCGGACTTCCCTGGTCGACGACGAGATGCGAAGGGGTGGCTTACAGGCAGGTTGCCGCGGTGCATCTCGACAGGTCAACGAGATATTGTTGTTGTTCATGAAACACGAGCCTTACGCGGGCGGCAGTGGCGATAGTGGTGTCAATTGTTTTTGTATTTCTTGGGGTCTACATCTGTGGCTGACCGGACTGCTGCAAGGTGCGGTCTGGTCAACGGCGGCTGGGTATAGTTTTGAAAGAGCATTGTCGGAGACGAGAAGAAAATGAGATGCGCGTCTTGCAGTTGCTGCTGCTGCTGCTGCTGCTGCTGCTGCTGTTACTATCTTCGTCTGTCCGAGTCTCGATCCCTACCTCGATTCCGATTGTCCCAGTCTCTGCGGTCTCTGCGACCCGAATCCCTATCGTCACGTCGCCGTTCGTATTGATCGTGCCGTCGGCCGGAACCGCGATCATCGGATCGGTATCGATCTCCATCTCCTCTTCTGTCCCTATCCATGGCCCTTGAGCGTCCAGGGCTTCGACTGCGTCTCCGCACCTGTTCCGATCTGGGTCGATCTCTTTCCCGTTGATCTCTGTCTTGCTCAGGCTGCTGCTGCTTATCTGACTCGGGACGACGGTCTTTGGCGCGCTGGTGGCGACCCTTCATCTCCTCGTCCCCGTACACCAGATCGTAATCGTCTCCATTTCGCTCGTATTCGTCACGGTATTGCCGCCTCTTTTCGAGCTCGTCAACACCTCCGAATCCACCCCTGGACGCGTGTTTTCTGCGCTTCTGGTTTGTATCGTCTCTCCAGACCTGTTGCAGCTTGCTCACACTCTGCGAGAAGTCCACGTGGATACGCCGATCGTCAATCAGGACATCCTGCATCTTGGCATAGGCAGCCTCGCAGGACGCCTTGTCAGCATATTCGATAAAGGCATACTGGAGACTGTCGCCTGTCTTGGCATCACGAATGACCTCGCAACTCAGAATCTTGCCGAATCGGCCAAAGATGAGCTCCAGATCGGTGTCCGTCGTGACGGGGTTGAGCTTGCAGACGAATAGGACGTTTTCAGGGGGAGCGACCTCGGCAAACGGCAGGTCACCCATCATTTCCAGAGTGAGAGCCTGGGCCCGTGCCTCGCGGTCCCTCCGCCGCTTCTCGATCGCCTCCTCATCTAGATCATCGTCTTCGTGTAGCGCAGCCTCGTCCGCGATCCGAACAGTATCGAGTTGTGACTTGGTCGGAGGAGGCGAGGCGCTGGGCTCTCGCAGCTCGGGGGGATCGGGGTACGGGTCATCGAGAACGATGGTGTGCTTGATTCGAATGTCGATAAGGGGGTGCCCCTTGTCGTCTACGATGGCCTCGTTGATCTTCTCCAACACGTCGAGGCCCTCCACGACCTTGCCAAAGACAGCGGCCTTGCCGTCCAAGTAGTCCGTCTCATCGCCCAAGGTGATGATGAACTGAGAAGCCGCCACGCGCGTATCCGGGTCGGAATCCTGGGGCGCCGTCGCCATGCTGACGGTGCCTCGCTCGAGATGCTTCAATTTCGGGTGGAAGAAGGCCGGGAACATCTTCTTGGAGCTGTCGCCCGACAGCAGGCCCCAAATAGAGGTGCCTCCATCGGACTGTTTCGATAAGGGTCCGAGAGGATCGCCGGTCTGGAAGGAAAAGTTCTTCTGAACAGAGTGGACTGGTGAAAAGTTGTAATATTTGACTTTGCAAAGCTTCAGGAAGCTAGAGGTCTTTGGTTAGCTGAGCAAGAGCGTTGTAGCGCTGGCGGTGAATCGCGACTTACTTTTCGCAAAGCTTTGGCGCGTAATCGACCAGCAGGTCAATCACGATATCGCCAGAGCTGGTTTCCAGAAGCACTGACATGGTGGCAGTAGGAGCCTCCTCTCGATCGCGTCGCCGTCGTTGTCGTCGTCGTCTGTCTAGCCGTAGGCAGGTTTGGTCTGAACGGAGCTTTCCAAAGTGGATTTTGCCCTGGGCGCAGCGGATTGACCAAACACAGGAAGATCAGTGAATTCGAATCGTCTCTCTTCGCCAAGAACAACAAGAGGTATCCCAAATGCGAAGCTTTCCGCTAGGCTCAGGCGGGCGGGCGTTCGGTGGTGGGGGTTGCAGCTTCGTGTGTGAGGTGCGTGTTGGCTTTTTTCCAGCTTGAAAAAAGATGTTTGCAGTCAAAGTGATGTAGGTGCGGTGCGGGCCAGTCCGCGAGGCAACGCCAACGGCAGCAGCTCTCTCGTCACATAGTGCGTGCGTCCAAACTATATTTCATTTGCACGGTAAAGGAGATCGGCGAATTAGAGGATGGCAGGGACAATGTCACAATGTTTGGAATCTTGTGCGGATTGCGTGCCCCGGTTTTCAGCAGTTTGAGAGCTTTTGGAGCTTGGCCGATTGGGCGTACGAATAGGCTTTTTGGGAAAGTCTGATGTTTTTGGATTCGTCCATTCTCTTATTTCGGCACCGCAGCAGAGCAATGGTGATCATTTCCACATCATGGAGCTCCCAAAGGTAGGTGAGTTATACTAGACATGCACCTCCAACTCCGCATGCATCATGGTGATCTCCCGGGTCCCGTCATGCTCAGACCACTTCAACACCACCTCAGCACCACTAAGCTATGCATTCATCACGAGTCTAACCAGACCGATTCAGACATGATATCAAATGTCAAGGATGGAGTGAAAGGTATGGTAAAAATTGGTAATTGGTGTCGTTTCAGTCATTACAAACTCTATGGACCAGATGGCTGTTTGTGTGTGATATTCCTGCAACCACCGATGAAAGAAAAAGGAAACCAGAAGTGAAAAAAGGCAGATTGGCTGTGGTGTATTCCAACAAGCCTTCGCCAGTAAAACACCAAATATCCGACAGGCGAGATGAGAAGAGCATCTTCACCTGTATGCAAACCCAGCTTTTCCCTCTTTGTGATGGGCAAAACGACCCATGTCGTGCCATAATCCATGTCATGCCTGTCCTCGGCAAAATGTTGAAATTCCCACACAAATCCCCTCTCAACGCCATTCGACGAGATGGTTAATCTCCTTGTCAAATCCAACGCCTCATGAAAAAGAAGAATCCGGTGCATAATTAGGTAGGTTGAAAAAGAGGTAGGACCAAAAAGGCTCAAAATATGCTGCGCTTTTTGTGTCGATCCGCAAAAAGATGAGAGCGTGAGATGCCTCTGATTAGAAAGCTCATGGCGCGCTCTTGCGTCGTCTCTCAGAACGAAGTTCCTTTTCCGTGTCCATAAGACGGCACTGCACCCACATGCGAAACGAGCTGTCGCTCCGCACCTGCTCGCAGTTGAGGAGCTCCATCAGAGCCCGCTTCATGCCCTCGTTGACGTCAAAGAGGCGCTGCTCTTCCTCGGCGACCGCCCAGATGGTGGTCTCGTCCGCGATGGGCGCGAGTGAGCTGCTGCGGCGGGTCTTGGGGCTCGATAGCGACGAGCGACGGCTTCGGCTGTGGTGCCTCTTACCGCCGCCGCCGTTGGGGTACTGGCCAAAGGGCGAGCAGGTGCTGCGCGTCGGGGACACGGACGGTGATGAGGAGAGCGAGGTGTTGGAGGTCGTCATGGGGCGGATCGTGTCCAGGTGCTGGCGGAGCTCCTCATGTTGAGATTGAAGAACTAGATATTGCTGGAGGGCAAAGTTGGAGGTTTGCTCCTGCGAGGATAGAGTGGTTGCGGCGGCCATTTTTGATGTTGGTGGATATGGTAATGATAGTGTGCAAGTAATGTGTCTTTGGGCTATTGACGAGCCCATCGGAAATATGTGTGTTTGAGGGTGTGGATAAGACGAGTATATGGGCTTTTTAAAGAACCCAGGCGAAGACAATGTTCGGAAGTGATATCGAAAGGTGCTTGTTTGAGTGTGAGTCTGTGCGTGCCTTGATGAGTGATGCTCTCGTAGTGACGGAGGTGGATAAGTCGATCCGATGTCGTCAATGTGATGTGGTCGAGTGAACACCGCAACGGTTCTCAATAAGACTTATATAGAGTGCTGGCACTGTTGGTTTGTTTATGATTCTTCTTTTCGCCTTCGAGGAGGAACAGAAAAAAGGCGTTGGTTCAGGTTGGCGTTATGGCTGGGAGACGGGAAGAGTAGTTGACTCGTGATTTTGGGCCAAATCGTTCGAGTGTGAGTGAGCAGGTGTCGAGTACTAATACCAAATGAGGTACTTTGAGCCTTCTGCGACTCCTGGAGCTACTGCCCTGTCGATGGTGTCGATCAATGGTGGATCCGGCGTCCTTTGTCTCCTTTCAATCGAACCCCCGTTGGCGTGCGAGAAGAGGAGAAGGCGGGCGGGCGTGCGTTGGAGCTTGCGGGGGTCGCTGGTAAACGGTCTCGAAAAGCCCCTCTCAGCTGTCGGTAATAAATGTGAAAAAGAGGAGTAGATGCAGCAGCACAAGAGGGCGTGGCCGTTGTCGGGCAGATGTTTGGTCAGAGATTGAGGGCCTCTTCTGGGGAAATGTAGAGGGCAAGGGGGGAAAGGAAGATCAAGTAATATGTATGTAAGGTGTGGTAAGGTGTGCTTGTTTTGTTTCTCTTGCGATAGGCGTGTGAGTGGACGGTGTGGTTTATTATGTGCCTCTCTCCTCCTTTTGCAGTTTGCGGTGTGCACGTCCGATGCAGACTCGATGCAGACAGATGCAGGATAACGCAGCCAGCTAGGGAGCTTCCCCGGTAGTCGAAGCTGATGATGGCCTTTTGGCTTTCTTGGTTGTATTTTATTAATAGGCACTTGTGGATGACCCGGAAGTGATAAGCGGAGTCTTGGGCGATGCGTAAAGAGGAGAACTCTGGAGACTCTCAGTAAGAATCGCGTTGTCGCCGGTCTCCGATCTCGTCTCTCTGTGTGTGGCCGTGTAATAAGGTATTCCAGGATATGGCAAGACTCAGGTACAGCAATCAAAGCTTGGACTCCCTCGTGGAAATGGCACGTCCAATGGCGCCAAATAAAACTGCAAGCCACAGGGCGTTTAACCCCCAGCCGGGATGTGGTTGACAATGTTCAGGTCCCGGTTCAGGTTGTGTATACAAGTCCCACTGCTAATATACAACGTACGGAGTACCCGCGTTGCAGAGAAAAACAGGGTAATAATGGGGGTGGGTAATGAACTCGGTAGTCAAGACCAAGATTCAGGAGTAAAAGAATAATTGGAAAAAAAAAAATAAGACAGAATATGTGCGCGCGAGCTTGGTTGCCAAGTGCGTAGGGGAGTGGAATGGTGCCGGCCGACAACCGAGAGGTGGTCTGGAAGCCTTTTTGAGAACCCACGATGCCTTGGGTAGACCGGTTCAGGTTTGTCGCCGCAGAGTCAAAGCCCAACCAACTAAAAACTTTGCTAGCTTGCAAGTGGTTGGCGGTGTTTTTCCTCGTCCGTGACAGAGGGGATCCGGAAACTTTTTTTTTTTGTTTTCCCCTCTCCTCTTGTTGGAGTTGGTAGTTATGCTTTTTGGGGAAGAGGAGGTGTAGGTAACCCCTGGACAGACAACTTTTGGGTTGTGTGTGAGTGTGTCTCGGTGATGTGTGCGTCTGTCTCTGCCTCTGATTTGTGCGTGATGATACTGATACCGATAATGAGGGGAGCCCGACTACCTAATAATGGCGGCCGATAGCGTAAGACGGGATGGGACGGGGGTATGGATGTCTGGGAAATGGGTGTGGAGGGAGATACTCTCCACAGCCCCTGGTCCAATTAATAGACCCGGTCCAGCCCGGATGTGATGCTGAACAGAGTGGGAACAACAGCGTAATACGAAGAGGCACCGCTGGGAGCGAAAAGAGACTGACAAGTTGCGTGCTGGCTGCGTCAAAAGTCGTAGACGCTGCCACCGGTCGGCCAGTCACTCAGTCCCAGGCTGGGAGGGGAGAGGGTGGAGGCCGGTTCGCTGTCGGTGGTGCAATAAACCTGTTCAATGTTGCGCTATTCCGACAAGAATAAGAACGGCCACGGCGTGCGTCTGGTTCATGCAGCTCAGGGGCGAGAAACGCCGCGACTAGTTGGTCCACGTTGTGGCTGGGCCTTGTTCTGTTTTCCGTAGCGCAGCCCGCCGGAGACGATAGCGCTATCTTTGGGTTGTCCTTTTTTGCTGGTTGTTGGCGCCCTGGTACGAGTTTCCTACCCAAAGGGGCGACGTGATGATGATACGCAGGGTCGTGTCGGCGTGGCGCTGCTAGTGCCGACTTGGGAAGATTGTGATACCGACGATGCGGTCGGGAGAGACGATAACAGACTTTGCTGATTAGGTGCGAGAAGCGAAATCGACCTCAGCTGGCCGCTCGTGTGTTCGCTAGCAATGTTGTTGCCGTCCCGATGATGTGATGCCAGAAAGTCTCTGGCAAACGGTAACCGGGCCTCTTTCAGCTCTTGCCCGCGGCTTTTGGAGACTAGGAAGTTCACGAAGCTGAGCTGATGATTGCGTTGTTTATGCTGTTGCTGATGCTGCTGCGCAGGCCGGTGGCTATGCGTTCTCGTGTCTGCGGAGACGGCCTCTTGTTCTCGTGATTGTCGCTGTTGATGCAGGAATTGTGGTCCGTGTTCAAGTTTTTGCTGGTTTTCCGAGGGTCGTTCGGGGGTGATCCAAGTTATATCACAGTGATACATAGCAATGCAGGGAAGACTGGCGATAATCAACAATGTCTCGTCGAGGTCTGGTATAGATGACTTGTATGTGAACTCTGTGTCGAGAGGGGGCTTGACGCTGATGAGGCTGGTGGCATTATGTAGGTAACTCTGGATAGGTCTCATCCCTAACGAAATGATTCTGAGCACAAGTGACGTACGTGCCTTAGAAAAGCCCATGTGGCTCAACACCGCTTGAGGTCTCACATAGGTACGAATTTCAATCCCACGTTTTCCAGCCTGGTTTTACCCCGATGAGGTATTCGTCGGGCAATTTCTTTTTCTGTTGTTTCTTTGGTGGCCCCAGGTTAGGTATTGCCCATGGCCCGCTAGCACTCGCTTTGAATGGAAGCTCCCCGGCCGGCACACGTTTCCGAACAGACAGAGTGTGGCCAATGCTGGAAGGTGTTAGGTCTTCCCGCAAGCGCAAGGGTAGGATCCGGTTTCTTGCTCTCATTTCAGATGAAAGCTCACACTTCGTGTCGCGGGAGATCCCTTGAGCGGAACGCCTTCGTTCAGCCATATGGTTGGTCTATGATCTCAAATACAGCCCAGGGTCGAGACTGGCGGGAAATATGACGGCCCCCAAGAAAAACGGCTGAACGGTGAGTGTCTGAAAGGTGTACACACCGCGCGGCTCGGGGGCGATAAGATACTTCGGTTCTGAACTTCTGACAGGTCGGAGGTAAATCAACCTCGTGTGTGGGTGCATGGGATGGGTACCATGGGGTTGTGGTGGTTCAACACCAAGGTCGAAAGTGGGTATGCAACCGGACATACGTCCGGAGAGAACTTCACCTTCTCAGTTCGGTTTACTGGCGCCTGTATACGTAGCTCGACCAAGTCTTGGGGTTTGCTTCATCGTCAAATGATCGGTTGGCGCCAGGTAGCTCTGACAGTCCAGGCTCTGCGATCGACGGACAGCGTACGCAACCTAACCGCAACCACAAGACCAAGAGCCTGGAGGCACGGGGTTCGTACCTTGCAGAGAAGGCGGCTTTCGGGTCCCAACAGAAGGAATAGCGGCTGGCGGTCGATCCAAGCATGTTTTGACAAGTCGCGGACCACACCCTCCTGAGTACTAGCACACAATCAACTGACCGATCTTTTCTCGTAGGGCCAGCGCCGGCCCTTTCGAGCCGAGACATTTTGATGCTCATCCTCGGCGGATGCGATGACTTCATAGCCTCGTTTCAACCGCTTCACGGTGCCCTGCTCGTCTCCGCATTTCTTCGTTCCCGCTTCTCTGTATTGACCTCCAGGAGGCCATGCTCACTCCCCGTTCTCTGAATACCTTGCAAGTGAGGAATCATCAAGGGCCAGACCAGAGTCTCGGTGTATTGGCAATACGCTTGTGCTCTGGAACATGCCAGTCCGCCCAATTATGAAGCGCCCCAAGGCTTTTGGCATTTTGGCCGATGTGCAGGGGTCAGCTCCTTCGTGCGAGCCACACGACCAACCCCTAACGTCACTGTGACTGAGCTTGCTTGCGTGGTGTTTGCCATCCTTCATTTTTCTGATCGTACTTTCAGCCACATATCTGGAAATCGACAAGATGACGTCCAGCTGGTCCATCAAAAGGTCGTTTCGTTGTTCACGAACCAGCCGGAGCGTCATGTCCGTTCCCGGTTGCCAGCGAAGCGCCTGAGCCTTACGTAAAGTCCATTTCTATGTACTCAACAAAGCTTTCCGCGTCGAATTGAGTTTCTGGGGTGCAGACCGAGGGTGGCCATCGAACAAGGTGACCCCTCATCTCAGAACGCATCCGGTGCCTTCCAACTCTCTCCGCGTCCTGAGACTGCCGAAGCATCAGACCATTCGTTCTTGGACCCAGAATGCGGGGAAGCTGGCACTGGGGTGTGCATGAGGTTGACAGGCAATAACATGATAATCGACTGGTCCCCAGAATTCCCAATGAATCTTGTTCATGGTGGCATGATGATTGTAAACTTGGGGTGCATCTTCATAGTTGTGACTTCGATCTTAGCCGTGGCCTGAGTACAGTTCCGACTCTTCATCGTTTGTCCCAAGGACGAGTGTTATTCGCTAGGTATTCGGCGCCTGATCCAAGGTCAACTCACCACTTCCATCTTCGCAGTAGGTATCTGCACATCCTAGGTTTTCGGGGGGCTTGCTGTTAGTGAGACGACGAATCGCCTGCTCCGGAGCTCGGCTTGGACCCTGATTTTGTTTGTGACCTGCGTAGTAGCCACGCAAGTCATCGCAGACCCTTGTTGGCCCTCCCTACAGGCTGCGTGGTGGAATGCAACCCCGAAGTATCACAGCGAGCTACTTTTGCCCGTGAACTCTCCTGATTGTTTACGGGTATTTACTGCACCTTACACTACGGCCTGCTTGTTATGATGCTGCTCACTAAGCAACGTATTCAATGGTGGGGTGCGAAGGCAAACTCGCCCCAAAAAGAGAAAACCGACATGGCGCTCTGAACTTTATGTTATACCAGACTGCGCGCGTGCCTTTTCGTGTGCGACAAAGTCCGTGTAAAAATAAACGGGTCTCCGTTTGATGTGTGATTATTTGATCATGATCAATGGCCAAAGCTGATAGAAATGCGCTGTGTTCATGGTCAAGGTATCACGCCTCGCCTGACATGCCGCCTCACCACAGCGCCCTGGTGGTTGGCGGTGCTGAGAGTCGGCAAATCCGAATAGGTACGCTGTCGTTATAGAACGGTCCTTTTTGCTGTTCCCTCGGTGGTATAGGAAACTCGATGTAGCTCAAGCCCATCTCACGCTGACGGCAAAGGCTACAAAAGGCCTCGAACGTGACCTCGTTCCGCTGCGTCGCGGATATCAAAACCTGCACGGCAGGAAATAGGGCAAATAGTTCCTCGACGGTTGCGATGAGGGCCGGGATGATGCTCTGGTCATAGGTGATATCTGCTCCGATCACAACGTCAACGCTCTCGCCGTTGTTCCACTTCTGGTCCTCTGTCCCCACGAGAGCATGTCCCCATCGCAATTCCATTGGTCTGATAAGCGTACTTTCTTGCAGTTCGTTGAGGAAGAAGCTCTCTGGTAGGTTATTGATCACATCATCAGATCCATCGGAAGCGACAACGTGCGTGGCGCCGAGATGTTTGACGCAGAGGATCGCCAGGTATCCAGTACCTGCACCGAGTTCGAGAACTCGCTTTCCCTTGACGAGATTTGGGTCTTCACACAGGAACTGCCCTAGATGCAGCGCGGCTTCCCAAGTTCGGAGACCCGTGGTGCCAGAGGCAGAGATCAGCGAGCGGGCCTCAAGCAGTGTGATGTCAGGGGAAGGCGAGTGCTGTGACCGGGGGCTCTGCTCAAGACCACTCAGGTGATACGTGACGTAGGATTTCTGCTGGGCAGAGGACACCTCAGATGGGACTGGAGTCGCGAGAGATTCGGACAAGACCGTCATGAGATCCTCGGAAACTTCCTGGTCATAGTTAGAATATGCCGGTAGCTGGCAGCAGAACGTCATGCCACGGCGCCGTTTACAGGGAGTCAAGACTTACATGTTGGTCCCAGTCTTCGATGCTGGACTCTATCCTGGCGACCAGTTCCTTTAGAACCCGGAGACGATATCTTGCAGGAGGGCTATAACGTGGTGCTTCATCCGAGAAGAGTTTCTTGTAAATGGTATCTTGGGCGGAGGCTTCACGAATGATCTCCGCGGTAGGATACTCAAGTGTTGGCTCCAGTTGAAGATACTGGTAACAGAAGCGGTCCACGGACTCTGATATGCGTTGGGTTCCGGCCATGATTGGGGTTGGTGATGTGAAACTCTGATAAATATCGTATGTTGCCTGATTCGGTGTAGTGTAGAGCCTCAGTTCTGGATGATGGTCCGATTTGTCTTTTACGGAGAGAGATGATCGTCTGGCCAAGATATGAGATTTTGCATGAGGAACTAATTTCCGAGGACAAAGGGTCCTGCGGGTTCCATCAGCAAAATCCCAGAGACATGGGTTATTGAAAAGACGGTGGTAGTCGGAGCTTGAAGTTGGAAATGCTCTTGATCTCTGGTTTGCAGTGCACAAAATGCGCAAGGGTTGTATGCTGACTCAGAGGAACGTCGACCACGGTGCAAACACAGTGCCCGGGAAGCCAAACATCACATGACCAATTCCAAAAATCATGCTGGCCCGTGCATCCACTGACCCCACGTGACTTTCCATTTTTCGACCCAGGCAGGTGCGGCGGATCCTGAGGCACTTTCTAGGGCTTGCCCACCCATTAAGCGACACCAATCCCCGCCCAGGAAAATTCACGTCTGTAGCCCCGTCACAAACCTCTCGAATTTGACGATATCACACCTTTCGACTCTTCTGTCTCAGCGCCAACCCATCTCGACAGACAGATCAGCCCCCCGACCGACAAGATGGCGGACGTCGACACCCCCGTCACCCTGCGAACTCGCAAGTTCATCCGTAACCCCCTGCTTGGCCGTAAGCAGATGGTCGTGTGAGTTTGCCCCTCCAGATTTATCATCATTTTTCCCCGAGAGAGAATCGCGCGCGTACGAAAGGATATATCGAACGGGAGGAGGAGAGGAGGAACACCAACAATCGACACTGCGATATATCGACAACGACTGGATCGAGACTCGGATTGGGAAACGGACGGACGCGCGCGCGATGGATGGTATCGATGGGACATTGTCAATGGGAATTTCGAGAGACAGAGGAACTGCATGCTGACGGTTTTCTCAAAGTGATATCCTCCACCCCGGCCGCGCCAACATCTCCAAGGATGAGCTTCGCGAGAAGCTCGGCTCCTTGTACAAGGCCACCAAGGACCAGATCAACGTCTTCGGTCTCCGCACCCAGTTCGGTGGCGGCAAGACCACTGGTTTCGCCCTCGTCTACGACTCCCCCGAGGCCATGAAGAAGTTCGAGCCCCACTACAGACTGGTCCGCGTTGGCTTCGCCAGCAAGATCGAGAAGGCCAGCAGACAGCAGCGTACGTCGAAGCTCCAGTCAGCACTTTGCCACCGCAGCATCATCGTATCGCTGGGTATCGGGACAAGACTCTTTTCGTCTGGCCCGAACCTTTGTCGTGATACAGGTCGCGGTGGCGAATCTGATAACAACCTCCCACATCAAGCATTGATAACTAACACTACTCGCGCTCTACAGGCAAGCAGCGCAAGAACCGCCAGAAGACCCTGCGCGGAACGGCGAAGGTCAAGGGTGCCAAGAAGAAGAAGGAATAAGCGGTTCGCCCTTGTTGCCTGGGGTCAGGCCAACAAAACGAGGGGAATTCCCCGGATCATCCGCAAGAGACCGTGGGGCGGCGTTGGTGGAACAATCAAAAAAGAACAATTCAAAATGTCGTCTTGGGCCAATGTGGTTGTTTCTTCTTCCGCTTGGGGGGGATGTCCTTTCATTTTTTCCGAAATGGGGAGTTTGTTCCAACTCTGGCTGTGTGCATCTTATTCGATGAAACAAATGCGGCTTTTGCATCATCCCCATGCGTCGGTCCGGCTGGGTTTATGTCGGCCACGCAAAAACAACTAGAGTCTACGCGGCGTGATACGGGGGAATGGGTTCATGATTCTCTCAAATATGAAATGCATCAAAAACACGTATCCCGATTGTCCCCCCTACTTTCAGTCCATGACGTTACCACTTGCTGGGTGAGTGTCTTTGTTCGTCTGAGTGTCACCGCGACTTCCATCGCCCTCCGCCAGTAGCAATACTTCATCAACGTTCGGGTTGATCAACCTGGAGGTGCGTAGCATTTATCACGACCCCCATTCAACGTCGGTATGCTCTATTCAGACACTTTTTCTTAGTGCACGATATTGCCACTTGCGGGGTGGCTATCTTTCCCCGTCTAATTTGCCATGAAGCCCATCCCTTCTCCCAGCAGCAGCTCTTTGGCGGCCAAGGTCCTTCATCGGAGATATCCAGTTGCCTGGTAGCCTGGCCCACGTCCTCTTAACCGATGCTCGTGCAGTGGAAGTGGAGAAACTTTCTGACCGAACTATCACCACGAACACCACGACTGGGGCCACGAAAACACGACAGCTCCATGCCCGGTATGCTGCTATACACAGGTTTACCTTTGACTACCATTACAAAATACCTTAATCGATAATAGAGGTTTCTTGGTGGCGTTGTATCCTATTCGAGATCTTTCTCGCCAATAGTAATCCCCATTTACACTCCCATCTATATATTCCCAGCTGTCAACAAGCAACAATTCTCGAATCCTTAAATCACTCTCCCATCCAATTTCTCGGAACTCAAGCGCAAAGGTCATTATTCCCAGACCAACAGCGTCTACACCCACTAGGCTTCCCATGATCGTAGTCCACCTGTGAACCCGTAGTGAGACGGTTTTCCCGCCTTTGACTTGCCAAGAGTCAAGTTCACCCTACTCAGACAGAAATGTCTAGATATACCCATTCGTCATCCCTATGGCTGGCCGTGATGGATGAATGAGATTGAAGCTACATGAATTACAGAGACTTCTTGTACTTATCCTGGGGTTTGAAAGTACTCCTCATCTGACAGTTCAATAGTAGCGGAACGACGGGATTTATCAAATAATACCTGAATGACTACTGCGAGTCATGGTAGATATCGTAGGGAAGAGACAAAGTATTCGGAATTCTCGTTTCAGTGACCACTCTACCAATCCTATAAGACTCAATCTCTTCCGCCCTTAACCATGCATAGCCCATCGACGCTATTCTCCTATCCCACCATAAAATCTGTCCATTGCATCTCTCAACCGTTAGCCACAGGCCTCCCAGTTCCAGAAACACCAAATCTCACCCAGAGGGCCATCACAAAGCACATAGGGAAAAAATTCACTCATTCTCCATGTTCAAAACTTTGGAATTATTTCTCTATCAATCGTGTAATGGTGGTATTCATGCAAACCCCATCCCCCAAAAAGCCCAACCTCAAAAAAACGCCATTGTACCACTGTCTATATCTTTCACATGACACCAGTGGAAACGCCGTACCATGCCAATGCTTTGATCCATACCACATACACCAAGACCAAAACACACAACAAGCCACCTTCAAATCTCCCTCAACTTCTTCGTAGGCCTAGCGAGCGAATCATCAGGCAACCCACTCCTCTTGGTGCCAGGCAGACTACTCGTCCGGATATCGTTATCATCCTGACTGACCCTCCGATGCGGGTACTCATTCTTCAACCCCTCAAAACAGTGCGCATTCAACCGATCACCCGTCGAAAAGAACGGATGCTGCAGCGCCTTGGCCGCAGTCAACCTCTCCACGGGGTCGTACTCCAACAGGCTCGCGAGTAACTTATACCCCTCAGCCCCCAAGCTCGCCAGCGGCGCGCCGCCCCCATTTCCACCTTGCGGCGCCGACGTCGCGCTGCTCGAGGCTCCCTGCGATATAGTGCTGTAATACCACTTTTCCAAATTCGAGCCGCTCGGCGCGGGAGGGTGGTGACCGTACCCGTGTCCGCGGTGGTGACCGTGGTGACCGTGGTGATGCGGCGTCATGGGCGGCTGCAGCGTAGCGAGCTGCGGATACTCTGGCATGGCGGACAGCAGCGGCCAGCGCTCCTTGGACGGCAGGCCCATGATGTCGACAATCTTCTGCATCTGGTTCCGCTGAAAGGGCACCGTCTTCTTGCTGTCCATCTTGGCCTCCTCGCCCTTGAAGATGGGCCGCAGCGAGAGCAGCTCCGCAAAGATGCAGCCGATGGCCCACATGTCGATGGCGGGGGTGTAGTGACGACTCCCGAGTATGAGCTCCGGCGCGCGGTACCAGATCGTCACGACAACTTTATCGCCGCTGAAGAGGGAGTGCAGGGGCTTGTCGAAGCGGCGGGCCAGACCTAGATCGCCAATCTTGACTTCCCCAGCTGAGGTGACCATGATGTTGGCAGGCTTGAGATCGCGGTGCAGGACCCAGTTGGCGTGTAGGTACTGGCAACCGTTGAGGAGCTGGAACATGATGCTCTTGACCGTCTGTGGCGGGATGGGATGGCGAGGGTTTTGCGTGTGGTGGTGAATGATTTGCAACAGATCGTGCTCGGCATACTCAAAGACCATAAAGATGCACTTGTCTTCCAGGATGATTTCGATGAGCTTGATGACATTGGCATGCTTCAGCTCACTGCACAAAGACATCTCGCGGATGGCAGACTGAGAGATGCCCGTATACGAAATCTGTTCACCCTCCTTGTCGGGCTTGAACTTCTTGATGGCAAACTCGCCGGTTTGGCCCTGGCGGCCAAGGGCTTTGTAGACGCGGCCATAGGTTCCGGAGCTAATGAATCCGACGACCTTATATCGCTCGATAACCCGGACCTTGGGCTGATAATTGATGTGGCCGAGGCCGCGGTCTGCTGGGTCTGTGAAAAATGTGTCAGCGGGTTTGAAAGTGAGTGAGAAGCAGAAGCAGAGATGAAATTGGGAGAGGATGCCATATACAAGAGCTATGACTGTGCAGGCCGCCGTAGCCTATTCCCCTCCACATGTTTGAGAAAAAATATGTGATTGTGAGAGAGGTCCTTTTTGTGAAAAAAAGGAAATGAGACAGGCGATGCGAGCGACGAGAGGATTTAGGGAGTAAACACAATATGCACTCGCTCTACAGACAACACATGTCTCTTGATCCCGAATACACCAGGAGGGATGGAATATCAGGTGAGGCTTTCGGGAAGCAGCAACACACGTGGTGACAATCGCCAGGAAGAACACCTCCAAAAGCAGGCAAAGCTCACCGCCGATCCAAGAGCAGCAGGTTCAGGCTTCGGGGTCTGGGTCTGGGGCTGACTGCGGCAGGCAGTAGGCAGTGTGGGCTGGAGTTCGCGGGGTGGCTCTAAGCTTTAAAGAGCAAATAGGCAGAGAAGCGGCGCCGGCGGAAGAATGCAGCCTGCCACCCGTCGAAACACACACTGGACACACACACACACACACAGCACGCACGGCACAGCTCGCGAAGTTGCGCCGGAACCCTTTTCCTCTCGGCTGAGTGCTCAATGATCGTGTGAGATGCAAGGTGGCGGTGGGGAAAGGGAAAAATGAGGAGACGGCAGATGCAGGACCCCCGAAAGTTATGTATAGGTTGTATTTCTCACGGCGGGATACCCGGTAGGATGGGATAGGATGGGTGGAGGTCGAGGAGGATTAGGATTGGATTGGATTGGATTTGGAGACGCAGTGAGGATATGTGCTGGGATATGTCTCTGAATGGGTGTGTATGAAAATTCTCGGAAAATGGGGCGAAGGCGAAAATGTGGAAGAGCAATAACAGGCGAGCTGCCGCTGAATGATGGCCCCGATTCCCGAGAGCTTCGTTTCCTCAAAGATCCAAAGGGTCTTGCGGAGGAGTGAGCGTGAAACTAACTACTGCGCAATGCCTAGGACCGCGGATGTGGAAGTGAATGTGTGGTGTATGGCGTATGGCGTGTGGTGAATGAGAGTGAGAGTGAGTGGAGGAGTGAGTGAGAGAGTGTGTGTGCAGTGCAGGAAGAGACGTGCAGGATTGCGAGTGGGAGGGGTGCATTCGACCAGATACGATTCGATACACAAGACGGATGGAACACCCGGGGTGGTGGTCGACGATCGACAAGAGGAGAAAATGTGGATAAGATTATACATTAAAAGAAACGGGGTTTGCAAATAGGGTACGAGCAGGCGACGGCGGCGGCCGCGGCGACAGCCGCAACGGATGGATGGTGGAAGCGAAGCAGCGGGATGAACAAGAAATGTACAATAGGTACTCTCTGCGTGCTCTGCGTGTGTGCGAACTCTCTGTCTCTCTTCTCTCACTTTGAGTCTGGAGTGTCAAGTGTGCTTGCTGCCTTTAGCTTCACTCCTCATCCAAATTTTTGTCTTTTGCCGCTGCTATGCTCGCTCACTTGCTGCACCTGATGTTTGTCGCTTGACTCTCGGGTTGCCTTCCGGAACGACACATTGACATTCAACTCGAGTCAGGCAAGCCGCAAAAAAGGGCAAAAATTGGGAAGCCAAGGGGGCAAAAAGTGAACGGCAGTTACGGACGAGAGCGTTTGCAGAAGTGTATGATGAACGTAACCGACAAGCAAACATCAAGACTCACCTTCAAACGCTGCCTGGACGCTTCTCTTGAGCGTGCCTGTCCGCACCGAGCCAGGACCCGATGCAACGGATGGCGGGTTTGTCAGACTCATCATCCGTCGGGGTGGTGGTTCGCTGCTGACTTTAATATCCGTATTGGAGTCGCAAATTCG